TGCTCCACGTCCACCTGCGAGATCATCCTAGCGAAGGCCACATCGCGTTTCTCTCAGGGCCATGCACCCACGGGCTGCACGGGAACTGGCTTTTCCTTACAGGCGCTGGCAGGGCGTGTGGCAAACCCCGCTGCCCTCAGCCAGAGCGAGAGCAGGTTTTGGGAAGGGGAAGGTGACCACACGGGGAGAGCCTCTGAGGAGCCGTGTTCCCAAATTGCAGGCGCACACCGAGGCCCGCCAAGCACCCTTTCCATCTCGCATGGAAAAACATGACAATGGTCTTACTATATTGTCTGAATTAAACTCCTCAGGACGCTAAATTGAAAGCAGTAACTGAGTTAGGAAAACAGCTGTTGGCCACAGCCAGAAGTGATTTCCTCTGGGTCAAAAGCTGGACCCGGTGCAAAGCTGGACTATGTGTTGGGAAGGCTGGGGAGGAGTGTGGGGGGAAAGAGGGCCCTTTCCCGCACCATCTGGACAAGATCTAGCCATGGCCTCCTGCTCCCTTTCGGGGAGCAAATGCCCCTTTCATCAGCCCAGGGCTGCCACGGAGCTGCGTTCAGATGTGTCCTCTCCTCGGCCTCTGAAATGGGGCTGGGACCCTCCGTGCCCATCCCAGGGCAGGAGGGCAAGAGGGGCCAGGTCTGGCAGGCAGCAAAGAGTGAGGGAGGAGGAGACGCACTGGGGTTTGAGCCCTAACACTGGGGTGGGAATCGCTCACCCCCTTCTCCCTGGTAGCCCCAGGCGGAAGTCTCGAAGGCCGTGCGTGACTTGGCCTCCCAAACACTAAGAGAGGGCCCTGGAGATCTCTTCCACTTGGGAATGAACAGAGCTTGACATCCACGTGGAGGTAAATCCTCAAGCAGGATAAGAGTAGGGCTGCAGACCCATAGCTGGGAAGGGGCTGTGGCTCCTGCAACCGCCCTGCTCCAGATGAGCAGCCTGACTCACACGAGGGCTTCTCATGCCCCTTGCTGGCACTCACAGCCAGAAATCAGTAGAGCCTCTCTCTAAACGAGTCTCAGCAGTATTCAGGCCTGTTTTTTCCTCCTGGGACTTTCACCAGCCGACCGAACCAGGAGGGAGGGCACGTCCTTTGCTCCCGCGGTCCCTGGTGTGCACGCACCATTGTGGCACATGCAGTATCACCTCCAGCACGTGAGCGCCGGCAGGTTTTTACAAGGCCAGTGGGTGCTGCACTTGTTGAGGCGCTGGCTCAGGGAGGCCTCTGCAATGGGACACTCTTGCACATTGTAAAGCTGCGCTGGAGGAAGGCCGATACTTCCTCCAGGAGCAAGGGATGGATGCAGATGTCCTTCAGCCAACCTCTAGCCAGTCCCTCATCAATATCACAGTGTGTCTTCGCGGCACTGAGGCAAACCAGACTTTAGGGGACTGCGTTGGGCCAAATGCTCAGCTAACACCTAGCCAAGGAAAGAGCTTGGTATGCTGGCATGGTCTGTGATGGGTGCCCAGGGCTAGCCACGCTCTTCAACAGCTCTGGGTTCTTCCAGGAAGCATCAGTGCAGCAAGCCTGGCCTTAGCAGAGGAGACCAGGTAGATTCAAATATCTGTGGTCTGGAGCTGTGTTTGGAGGAAGAGAGAGGCCAGCTAGCCCAGAGCAATGCCTAGAAGGAGGCTTTTTAGGCAAGGGCCCTGCAGTCACCCTGCCATCTCAGGAGAAGCGGTGGGATGTCTGTTTGACCCTGTTCCTGCCGTAGAAGAACAGCCAAACCGAGGGAAGTGGTGCTGCTTGTCCAGGGTCCCACATGGCAAAAAAGCAGAGGAGCTGGAAGTAGGGTCAAAGCAGCCGTAGCCCCTGAACAAAGCGCAGCCGAGACCTTGGCTGTGGGGGCAAACAGAGGTCCGAGGCCTTTGCTGACTCTGGGGCCTGCCAGCGGTTAATCTCCTGCTCTGCTGAGTCCTAGATTTCTCCCTTTGTGCCAGTTCCCATGAGGCTGCCGCCGCTCACAGCCCACGGGGATACAGAGCAAACCAAATGCCCCCAAGCGCCGGGGAGAAAAGCAAGCCAACCCTGTAAAATCGTCGGGAAAGAAAACAAAGCACGGCCTACCCACATCCCCCCGACAAGGCTCCACGCGTTCGGGGGAGCACAAGAAAGGACCGGGGGACCTATTAAACATCCAGAAACTTTTATGCACCAGTGTTTTTGGGTGGAAGGTCCACAGGTCAGTGCGAAACTGCTTTGTATTAAATTCAGAAGAGGGCCCAAGCACATGGTTTGGATTTTGCTCTCCTCCTTCGCTACAGCTAATTAGGCCAAGTCCAGAGAGTGTCCCTGCTGATCCCTAACATATGTGTGACACGAATGATTCCTTCCAACGGGAATCGGCTCCTGGGAGCGGATTATTAGCTCTGTCTCTAGGCAGGAAAGGAAATCAGGTAGCCGAGGGACGTGTGTGTATGCGCGTATGCGTGTGTGTGTGTGTTTGTGGGAGTTGGGGAAGAGATTATATTTTAATGAAGAGTTTTGAACTCGTTATCTGGCCTGCATTCAAAGAATGCAAGAACACTAATCATGCACATAAATGCGTGTGGTGGGAAGCGACTGGAGGGTGGCCAAGAATACAGAGGTTACTGTAACACACATCGCGCGCTCCCTCTCCCACTCCCCAAGCGCTGCCGGAGCTCTCGGGTTTGCGTGGTTCTGTCCGCTCGGCTTTATGTGACTGTGGGAACCCGCGGAGCCTCCTTCCCCTCTCTCACACCCCTCGCCTTTCCCCGCCGCCGCCGGAGCCGTGCTGAAGGTAGCTCTCACGCGCCGGGCAGAGGGCTCCCAACGGCCTCAGGGCCAAGCGCGAGCCCGGCGGCTTGGGGCAGCTTTCCGGCACGCAGACCCTCTGCAGGGTGCTAAGCGCCGTACGGATACGGAGAGAGCGGAGCGCGGCG